GAGGCTTTGAGGAGGTAATTAGGGTAAGTTGGTGTCACAAGAGTGGACCTCCATGATGGGATTAGTAGCTTATAAGAGAAAACCAACCTGAATACACGTACTCCCTCACTCTTACCACGTGGTGCCCTTTACCATGTTGTGACACATCAAGAAGGCCCTTGCTGATGCCAGCACCTCTGATATTGGGCTTACCAGCATTTAGAACTGTAAGAAATGTTTCTTTTCTTTATTTACTACCTAGTCTCTGGTATTCTGTTATACTATCGTAAAACAGTCTAAGACAGGTGGCAAATCTTACTTTAAATCTTTTAAAACACCTTCCTCCTCTCCTGGCCTGCTTAAAGTGACAAAGAGCAGCTTTCTGAAAGCACTTGACCTTTATGGATTTGGGTAGTAGAGCCCTCCAATCTTGTCTGATCTCAGACAACTGGAGAGACCTCAAGGAAGAGATTAAGCTATGAACCTCTGCCTCCTTCATGATCACATCTCAAGTTAGATCATTTAGCTTTGTAGCTTCCTACATTTTACGTTTGCATGATATAAGTTTTTCTGAAAGGTGATCCACCTACATCACTCACATCAAAGTGGGGAACATTGGTGGATAGATCAAGGGTCAGCAAATACTTTTATAAAGAACCAGACAGCAGATATGGGTTTGTTCTACTCATTTTTGCTACTGTAGCATGAGATGCTGTGGCTCTGAAACGAAATATGAACAATTAAACAATAAATTTTACAAAACAGGCAAGGGGCTGAATTTGCCCTATCGGTTATAGTTTGCTGACCACTGCCTAGACTTGTGACTTTCATAACTTTATTTTTTTGCAGCACTAGGATATTAAACTCAGGGCCTCACACATGCTAGGTACATGCTCTACCACTGAATTACACCCCAAATCAGACCAGTGGCTTTCAAAATGTGGCACCCAAGCTAGCAGCATCAGCGTCACCTGGAAGCGCCTTAGAAATGTAAGTTCTCAGGTTCTACTCAACCTCTGAGGTGGGGGCCATTAATATGATCTAACAAGTACTCCCTGGGGTACAGATAAATCTCAAAACACTGCCCTAAACCAATGATTGCATTAAAATTATACTTGAATATCTTAGGAAAATACGAGGGATTCTGAGTTTTGACAGAGGACCATCATCTTAGAACTCATTACAGTGCCAAGAGACTAATTACCAGAGGAAAGAAAGCCAAGACTTCCACTATCCCTGCTGCACTGAGAACTTAAGTCGAAGCTTATCTGAATAGACCATTTGACACTTGAAGTTCTTACTCCAAGATTCTTGCAATGTTCTCATGAATTCCACATGGCTTTAGGATGCAAGTGGTTTAAATGACCTTTTGAGGGCTGGGCCTGTAGCTCAGTGGCAGAGCGCTTGCCTAGCATGCATGAGACACTGGGTTTGATCCTCAGCACCACATAAAAATTAACAAATAAAGGCATTCTGTCCATATACAACTACAAAAATAAATAAGTAAATAAATGACATTTTGATAGAGAGATGTTAGAGGTGTCAGTGACTATATCTGAGACAATCTCACTGAGGCAATCAACTTAAAAGGTTTATTTTGGCTGTTTCAGTGAGTTTAGTCCAGGGTCATTTGATCTGTTTTAGGACCCATGGCAGGAACATGTGGCAGAGGAAAATTTGTTAAGGCCAGGAAGTAAAAAAGGTAGGTGCTGGGGTCCCACCATCCCCTTCAAGGCCACGCCCCCAGTGACCTAACTTCCTTCCCCCTAGGCCACACCTCCCAAGGTCTCTCTCCTCCCAATAGCACCACAAGCTGGCAACTAAGCCCCCAGCATATAGGCTTTTGGGTGACATTTAAGCTCCAAACCACAGCAAGAGGTGAAAGTGTTGAACATTTTATTAAGTTTTAAAAGCTTTACATTTGTGATACACTAAGAAACAGCAGTGCCGCTTCTCAAAGACATTTTCTTTCAGTGCGTGGGTAAGGGCTTTATATTTGTGGAGTACTGCTATTATTTTGTTATATTCTTCACGCATTCACATCCTAGGTCCAGGCCTGGGAACAGTATGCCATCTTCTTCCTTCAGGGAAAACAAACAGTTATAACTCCAGATCCCAGCGTGGTGTTGCTGCACATTTGACTCTACAACATCAAGGGTGGGCTAGAGTTTGTTCTCAGGTGAGGAGGCCTTGAGCTTCCTCAGAGTAGAGGCTGAAGGAGGGAAGCATGGAACCACTTCTCATAGTGGGCCTAGAATGCAGTTGTGCACGGGTGGTAAAGTATACATAACAAACTCTAGCATCTTAACTATGTATACACAGATTGTTCTGTGGCATTAAGAATATTCTCATGGGCTGGGGTTGTAGCTCAGTGGTACAGTGCTTGCCTCGCACATGTGAGGCACTGGGTTCGATCCTCAGTACCACATAAAAATAAAGGTAATGTGTCCATCTACAACTAAAAATAAAAAAAAAAAAAGAACATTCACTTGGTTATATAGCTATAACCACCATCCACCTCTAGAACTTTTTCAATTTGCAAATCTGAAACTCTCCCCACATTCAACACTGATTTCCCATTTCCCCTCCACTCCGACCCTAGCATGCACCATTCTACTTTGTCTTTATCAGTTTGACTATTCTAAAGATGTCTTAGAAGTGAAATCAAATCACATCTGTCTTTTTGTGACTGGCTTATTTTTATTTATTTACTATTTATTGAAGTATTGGGGATTGAACCCAGGGGTGCTCTACTGCTGAACTATAGCCCCAGCTCTTTTAATTTGTTGTTATTGTTATTTTTTGAGACAGGATCTCAATCAGTGGCCCAGTCTGGCCCCAAATTTGTGATCCTCCTGCCTCAGCTCCTGAATAGCTGGGACTACAGACATGTGCCACTGTTCCTGGATTATTTTTAAAAGCAGTTTTAATATACATAGAACATTATCCTTACCATGAAAATGGATATAATGGGTGTAGCAGTTACTTTTAGAGCTCTTAGATGAGTCCCAGGGATATAAAGCCATATGGGATGTGTCTCCTATTTGTGAAGTTTTCTTAAGAATCTTTAACCCACAAAAATGAAAGATGGTCATTAAGTGTGTCCCATGCTCCCCATGGTTCATGGGCTGAAAGCCTTGTTCCCAGTATGCTGGTTTGAGGTGGTGGAACCTTTAAGAGATGGGCCCAGTGCAAGGTGGTCAGGTCACTAGAGGCCTCACCCTAGGAAGGAATTAATGTTCTCAAGGGACCCCAGTTAGTTTTCACAAAAGAAAGTTGCTATGAAAAGAAGCAAGACTGGTCCCTGAATCCCTTTTGCCTCAAGTCTTGCCATGTGACTGGCCCACCATCATGTACTCCCACCATGATGCCATCCACCATGTTCTGATGTAGTCAAGGAGACCCTCACCAGAGGCCATACAGATGAGACTGCCCAATCCAGGGCATTCAGACTCCAAAATGGTCAGCTAAATAAACCTCGTTTCTTTGTGAGAACCCAGCTTTAGGTATTTTGTTATAGCAACACAAAACAGTACCTAATATAAATGCAAGTCAAAACCATAAGATACTACTTCATACCCATTATGATGGTTATGATAAAAAAAGGTCAAGGCTGAGGCTCAGTAGTAAAGTGCTCACCTGGCATGTGTGAGGCACTGGGTTTAATCCTCAGCACCACATAAAAGTAAAATAAAGGTATTGTGTCCACCCACAACTAAAAAAAATACGTATAAAAAAATCAGACAATAAAAGTGTTGGCAAAGATGTAGAGAAGTTAGAAAACCTGTATAATGTTGGTAAGACTATAAAATGGGACATCCATTGTGGAAAACAGTATGGTAGTTCTTTAAAAGTTAAAGATAGACCTGCCATGTGATCTAGTATCTACTTCTGGGTATCTATTCAAAATAATTTGAAGCAGAAGATACTGGGGAATGAAATTGACCAAATTATGTTGTGTGCATGTTTCAATATGTAAAAACAAATCCCACTAGTATATGTAATTATAACGCACCAATAAAACAGAATTTTCTTAAAAGCCCACCTTGAAAAACTAGAATTGGAAGCAGGGACTCTAATCAATATTTGCTCACTCATGTTGATAGCAGCATGGGTCACGGAAGTTAAATGGCATAAGCAACTCAAAGGGTCCATTAATGGAAGACTTATAACAAAGCATGGGGTATACATTCAATGGAATATTATTCTGCCTTGAAAAAAGAATGAAATTCTGACACAGACTGTTAGATGAATGAAACTTGAAGACATCCTGAGAAGCAGAAATAAGTCAGTGCAAAAGAACAAATACTTTATGGTTCTACATAAATGATGCCCCAAGAGTAGTCAAATCTACAAAGTAGAATGGCAACTACCAAGAGCTGGAAATAGGAGACCATGGAGTTAGTGTTGCCTGGGTATGGAGTTTCAGTATGGGAAGATTAAAATGTTCTGAAGGTGGATGGGTTAAGATGGATGGTTGTACATAACATGAGTGTACATAACACCACTAAGCTACACTGGTATTACAGGGGTATACTTCATATTATAAACATTCTACCATAAAACCTTTTAAAAACATCTAATATCTGATCATTACTCTCTGCAGTTGCCGAAAATTTGGAAGCCTTTTGTTGAATGCCTCACCCAACATTGTGTTCCAGAAAGAGACAAAATGGCTTTTCAGAAGTTAGACCCAACTTCACTGTTTGCATTCTTCAGTAGAAAGTCTCTTTAGTACCTACCTCATGTTCTCCCTCTCCACCCCTCCCCAATGCAGGCAAATGGTTTTAAGCCAGAGGCATCAGGACAAGCCCCTCTAGTATTAGACCAGCTTCCTGACACTCCAAGGCCAACTAGACAGCAAAGGTAAGCAGTCACCAAGCTAAGTTCAGAGGAGGGTCAGGAGGGAAGCCCATCTGCCTGGTCACCTGACTCATAGCAGCGTTACCAGCAGGGTGGTCACTAGCAGACGCGGGCTGCCAGCATGGACGGGCACTTCTTTCCTCTTGGAAGTCACTTACCTCACCAAAGTGTTTCTCGATGAGGTTCTGAGCAGCCTGGCTGATCTGATGGTTCTCATGCAGTTGTAAAGCCTCGATCCTGTCGATCCCACCCAGCTCTTCTATCAGAATGCACAGGTTTTCCTTCTCACATATTCTCTCTGCTTTCTGGAGGCCACACAAAAGATAATGAGACCCTGGGCAGTGTCCTAGGGAGGTAGAACCTTGCCAGCCCTCATGGGAGTGTCCCTTGAGGGAATAAAACCAAAAGCTCCTGGTCAAGCGTGAGCAAAGTTTCATGTTCCCCAGATTGATTAGAAAGGGCATGATCTAGCCAGGCAAGGTAGCTCACACCTGTAATCCCAGCAGCTGGAGAGGCTGAGGCAGGAAGGTCACAAGTTCAAAGCCAGCCTCAGCAAGTGAGGTGCTAAGCAACTCAGACCCCATCTCAAAATAAAATACAAAGTCGGGCTGGAGATATGGCTCAATGGTCAAGTGCCCCTGAGTTCAATTCCCCGAACCTGCCCCCCCCCCCAAAAAAAAAAAAAAGAAATGGTATGATCTTACCATTTCAGATATTTATGATTTGTAAGTATACCATATCATATATTGGTATATAATATCATAAATACATATATAAATGTATGTTTATATAAAACATTTACATAAAATCTATGCATTTCTTTGCCAAAATACAATATTTCTAGACTATCAATTCATAAGGGATGGTGGGTTTTTTTTTGGCTGAATATATTACTGTCCATAAATACAACATTATCACTGTTTAGTAGATATTCCCTTCTAATTAATAGACATTGTTTTCAATACAATTTGAAAGAATGTTCTAGAAATGCTATGTAAATGCAAGCATTTTGCTCCGATTTCCTTAGAAAGCTTTAAGAGATCAATCAAGAGACCCTTAGTCACAGAAGCCCCATTGTTGTCTACATTGAGCGTAGACAACATGAGTGAATTTAATCCAACACCAGTCATTGGTTTATTCATCCAAGGTTATTCATTCCTTCAAATGTTTATCTATCTTATGGGTGAGGCTCACAAAGCTAGAAATACAGAGATGATTTAGAGAAGGTCTTTCTATAACTCACTGTTGGGGGCAGCCAGTAAATAATTGTTACAGAGTAAAAATTACAATGTCATAAACAATCAGGGTTGAGTGATAGAAAATGCATAGGGCAGGCTTCTAAGGGATCACAGATCCTGAATGAATGGCCCTTTGTCAGAGGTATCTTTTCTTTGGGGATAATAGCATTCCTAAAAGAAGGGATAGTAAGGATAATGTTTTGAAGGCAAATGCCACATATGAGAAAAGAGTCGTTCAGCCAGATATCATATTTGGGGAACACAGAGAGAGATAAAGCCTAAAGGTTGTAAGCAGTGACCAAAAAAAAAAAAATGTTGTATGGATCAAATCAAACATAATGCAAGTCACATCGTTCATCCAATGAGAGTTTGAGCTGCGTGTCTGAGCCTTGGTATCAAGAAAATGTGTTTTCATAAACTTTTCATGTCCAACTTTGTCTACTGGCTGCTGAGTCTCCACCCTTTATCTGTATGATTTGCTCACCGTCAGGATGTAATTAGGCTAGGTTTCGAATCTGGCCTCCACTGAAGTCTGTTCATTTTAAGATGGTTACATGAAAAGAAGGCTCAAAGTAGATTTTTAAAAGGAATTTCCTGGTGTTACTTTGAAGCTCTTCTAATGGCTTAGCCATATATAAAAGGAGCTTAATCAAATGAATATAGCCAGCCTCCAAGATGGCCCCAAATGATCCCCGACTCCTGGTATTTATGCCCTGTGTAGTTTCCCATTGGATTGAATAGGGCTGTCTTGTGTAAGCAACAGGGTGCTGTTGAAATGGCATATGACCTCCAAGGGTATGTCATAAAAGACATTGGGACTCCCAGCTTGCTTTAATTTGGCTTGCTTCTTAGATGGCCAGCTGCCATGATGTAAAGATGCTCAGGCAGCCCTATGGAGAGGTAAGTGACTCACCAGCCAGGTGAGTGAGCCAACTTGGAAACTGATTCCAAGTGGAAGCCTTCAGATGATATCAGCCCAGGCTGACATCTTGACTGAACCTCATGCAAAACCCTGAGCCAGAACCATCCTACTAAGCTGGCCCCAGATTCTTAACTCCAGAAAGTTTTGTGAGATACTCCATGTTGGATTTAAGCTACAACAGGAATGATGTGTTATGCAGCAATATAGACCTAACACAAATAACATATAAACACTGGTTTAATTTTGCTTTATTATTTCAGAACTAAGACTTTTCTAGAATTCTAGTTCCATCCTTGGTAGTCCCTTTCCCTAAGGACACAGCTAAATGGGACAGGAACTTCAGGGTGGCCCCACAAGATTGACCACTGATAAATTGCTGCCTCTTCCAGGATATCCTATGTTTTAATCTTTCTAAACACTGAGTAGAATTGTCTAGCACTTCTAAAATACAATTAACTAATTATTCTAAAATAAAGAACTTGTGACTTTGATCCTGTTTCAAATCTTCCACTAGTTTCCTGGCCTCACTCAGAATAAGTCAACATCTTCACAGACCCTACACGACCCAGCCCCTGCCTGCCTTCAGCCTGATCTCCTACGATTTTCCATCCATTTGTTCTGGCCACACCTCCTTCTTGCTACTCCTTTTGCCCAAGACATCCACATCTGGGCAAAGGATCTTTCGATTTTTACTCAAATGCATTCCTTCTCCTGACCACAGCCCATATGACAGCTACGTCCATTCCCGACCCTGAGCAATTAGTGACTATCCCTGATCTGATAGACTTTATCTAGAACTCCCTCCCTGGTGTGTCTGTCCCCCACCTCACTAACACATAAACTCTACCAGAACAAGGACTTGGCACTGGCATATTCTGAGTATTCCCAATGGTGCCTGGCACAAAGTCATTCATTTGAGAAAATGAAGGCAGTCATCCTTCATTGAGCTGCTTGGTTTTGTGTTGTCCACAGGACATGTGGTTAGGGAGGGTGGAGAGGAAAGAGCATCCTACTTGAGTTTGAAGCACCAAATTCAATGTTTTAAAATTAGAGACTTCTGTTTACAAACCAACCTGTTCAGGAGAGCTCACCTGGAGAATGTAAGCAATGACATCGAGAATGATGTTAACCATCCTCACGTCCGGGACGCTGAGCAGATTCAACAGTGGCCCCATGACTCCAGAGTGGACAAGCCGAAATATCTGATCCACCGTGGCCCCCGAGACGAAGTTAGCTACTGTCCACAAGGCCTCTCTCTGAACTCTAAACTCTCCCTGCAGAGACAGAACATTGACCTTCTCTACTTATCCCAAAGAACCAAAATACAGCAATGCTGACTTGGTTCACTTTCTGGGTGGGATGGCGACAGTCAGGACTTTATGTGCAATTTAGTAGAATGCCCTGGCTACCTGCCTCTGGTTCTGGATCAGAATATGGCATCTAAGAAACCATGAAAAAGGAAACCGTTCCAATGGGTCCTTGGGGGTAGTTTCTCAGGTCAAGTAGACTCATTTCCATACATCAGGCTACAAGGAAACTAGAACTAACATAATCCAGGTAATCTACATAGATTAGGAATTGTGCTTGGAATTGTAGATGATAGTGGCCTTTTTCTGTGTTTTTTTTTTTTTTTTTTTGGTACTAGGGACTGAACCCAGGGGTACTTAACCACTAAACCCCAACTCAAGCCTTTTTTATCTTGAGACAGGGTCTTTGCTGGGGCTGGCTTGTGATCCTCTTGCCTCAGCCACCTGACCCTCTGGAATCAAAGGCATGCTGCACTGCACCCAGCACTATGTTTTTATTCTTCCTGACCAAGTAAAACTTTGGACACATTCTATACTAGGTCACACAAAATTGATCTATGGGACTGAATCAGCCCAGAGGCAGAGAGAAAGACCACTGAAATATTACTCAATGAATCTCTTTTTTTAAGCAGGTGGGTGTACCAGGGACTGATCTCAGGGATACTGGACCACTGAGCCACATCCCCAGCCCCATTTTGTATTTAATTTAGAGACAGGATCTCACGGAGTTGCTTAGCGCCTCACTGTGGCTGAGGCTGGCTTTGAGCTTGCAATCCTCCTGCCTCAGCCTCCCTAGCCGCTGGGATTACAGGTGTGTGTCACCCTGCCCAGCTCAATGAATCTTTTACATTTCTAAAAAGCACTTGGCCCAGAAATAGGGACCTAATTTATCATGGATCCTAGGGAGAAGGACTTGCTCTCGTTTTTCTTTTTCTTTTTGGCTGAGGCAAACTAGCCTCAGCATTGAGCAAAAACAAAAATAAATAATGTATGGTGCCAAATGAATTATATTTCAAAAGACATGGCTTTAAATATGAGTACTGCCTGATTCATAACTGGATTTTTAAAATTAAAACAGGCACAGATTCAGGTATGATGCAGAACAGGTAGTGCTCAAATGATTGGAACATGCCATGACCTAGACGGCACACCTGCCTACCTTTTCCTACTTGACATGCACCTGGGAACCCACCATCCAATGTCAGAACAGAGAGTTTGTCTTCCTCATGCAATGACTCCTGCCTCCCCACCCCTAATCAGTGCTAACCACTCCTGACTATAGATAGTTTAAATGTAGCAAAATGAAACACTGATAATAATTGTTCCAGGGAAGTAGGAATCAGGAGGTGGAAGGAAGCCTTATTATATTTCTACTTTTGTATTTCCACTTTCCATTTAGATCACCTCTTTCATCAACTTTATTTGTATACTGAAAAGCTACCTTTTTTTTTTTTCCAGTGTATGACATCACCATAGCCTGATAAGATTTTCCTCTTAAAACAAAGCAAAATCTCCTCCCTCTCGGCAGGCATATTCTTTGACCATGCCATTAGAGATAAGCCATTATTTACTAGCTCAAGATTTTTATGGATGTGTGAGCTGTGGGGTAACCTTTTCATGGAACAATGTTTAGTCTTCCAGATATTCGATAGGCTCTTCACAATGGAAGTCCCCTTCCTTTTTCTAGACAGATTCATAGCTTTGTTGTGATCTCAATTTCCTTTTTAGCCTGCATCTACATCCCTGAAAGAATCAGGGCCATAGGAAATACTCTCTTGCTGTGGACTTTGAATGTGCCACTTACGTCCTTTAGTATGTCCACCAATGGCAGCAGCATGTTGAAAGCAATCAGCTGCTGGATGTGCTGGTGAGGCCCAGCGGCCACATTGCTCAGGGTCCAGGCTGCTTCCTTCTGGATGGAGATACTAGAGTGCTTCAGGAGTGGGGCCAGCACAGTTAGCAAGCCGGCATTGATGGCCAGCTGGGTCTGGTGATCTGTTCCCGTGACAACATTCCCCATCGTGCGGAGAGAGGGGATCTGGAAGAAAAAAGTTAGAAGTCTAACCGGTATTGCAAATCTATCACAGTAGAAAGTGACAGTCACACCCAGTTCTGTGCCCTCCCAAACATCAGTCATGCTATGGAGTGAGCTCTCTGAAAGCTCATGAACCAGAATTAAATCCACAATTCTTATTAATTCCATACATCCATGGCTGTTCTTACATAGTTTCGAGGTACTGGCCAGTTTCCTGAAAGTTCTGGCTTAAGTAGGATAGAGGTCAAGGGATACCTTTATCAGGAAATGCTGTGGCTCCTTCCACTTTCAACTGGGGAAAGCACTAAACTGATTATAGCATTGATCATGTCATAACTTCCACTGCATTTGTATTTGGCCCTATTGTCAAGCTTCTGTTATATATTTAAGTGGAACAAATGAGATTATGGTGGCATTTCTTGGTGTACTCATGCACCCGCTTCATGATAATTGTAAAGGTCAATGATTGGACTCAAGGCAGCAACTCTCCTAGAGAGACTGACTGTGAACTTCTCTGGAATTCTCTGCACTGTAGTGGCAGTCCCCAGGAAAGCCCATCCGGAGTTCTAGAGTTTTCCTAGCCTATTAGGCTACATATCTGTTACTCATGTGAGAGGCCAAAGCAGGACTGTTGGCCAATCACAGCCTTGCCAGGACAGCTCCAGTTGAGTCCCAGAACTTTTATAAGAAGTGCTTCTTTTCTTATTCTCTTTACTCTGTGTCCCCAGCTCTATTCCCAAACCAATCTTAACATCTGAGAAACACTACCACGCTCAGAACATGATCACTAAGGCTGCACAATCTATAATATTAGGTATAAAAATCAAGAGGGGCAGAGTAGAGGTGAGCAACCACTATGATTTTTAGATCAAAATAGACCCAAATCTTTGGTTAGAGGATGGCAAAGACCAGGGAAATGCAGATGACATTCTTTGTTCCAAGCAAAGGATTAGAGCTGACTGTGGAGAGACCAGGGATGGGGGAACAGAACCTTGCAAAATGAATCTGGCTCTCAAATCCTAATCCCAAGACCCTTACAGAGACGGGTGGGACCCAGAAAGACGTTTACCAAGATACTGAGTTCCGATCTGGTCATGAGGTCCACCAGCCTGGGCAGGACCCCTGTGTGGACCACTTGCCCGATGCGCTCATTGCAGCCATCAGTGAGGTAGGACAGAGCCCAGCAGGTGTCTGAGAGAACCTCATTGTCCTGATGCTGCAGCAGTTGGGAGAGGATAGGCAGCATTTGCTTCACCGCTTCACTGCAAGGATATGGGTTCTTGTTCCGGCACAGGTTGGACAAGGTCCATGCGATATTCCGCAGAAATGTGATCTATAACGAGGAGAGCGTCCAGCATCAGGTGCAAAGGAGAGAAAATGCAAATCACAGTGTGCCCTTCCCATCTTTGATCAATATTATTGATCAGCATGAACCAAAGCTTTTGAGCTTCAAATAGAAACTTGTTCTAGGCAGTGGTGTATATTGGAGACAAAAAGAACCAGCTTTTTATTTCATATTTGAATGTTAGATGGAGGTTTCTTGTTTTAAAAAAAAAAAAAAGTTGTAGTATTCTTTACCCACTCTAGGGGCAATGGATGATCTAATTTGTTTTTCATTGGTTAAAAAAAAAAAATCAAACATAAATCACTTGGTCTTTTTGCCAGTCTAAAGCTCTACTGGCCTGTCAATCATATTTCTGATCTTTTATTTGAAATCAGTCTTCCCTACCCTACCTCTGAGTCCTATCACTTTCTGCTTTTAAAAATCCAGCCTCTATCATCATCTGTCTTTGATGAATTGCTCCCTCCGGGGTAGAAACATGTGCCGGGGCCTTCAACACCCTGCTCCTCAATCCTGCCGTTGGCTCTTCTCCAGCCCCTGACCCACAGTATGAGGAGGGCTGGGACCAAGTCCTGGGGGTTCCAACATTTAGGAGTCAGGCAGAGCCCAGCAAGAGAATGGGGAAGAAATAGCTCACTTGACAATAGAAAACCAGGTTGTGTCACAGTGCCAAGAACAACTTTTTTAAAAGGAAATGGCTGGCAAACTGTAAAGAGCCGCCTAGTAAACCATTTTTAGCCTTGCAGGACATATGTCTCTAACTGTGACAACTCAAAACTGCCCTTATCTTACAACCATGGCCACAGAAGATATGGAAACCAACAGCATGGGACTGTAAAATTCTACAAAACAAGCACCAGCCAGGTTCAGTTTGGTAACTGGTGTTGCCTAGCTGGACCCCCAACTGGATGTCCCATATGCGTATGATCATCTAGAATGACACATCCATGAACCTGCCTTTGCTGTCACGGTCCCCTCTGACTAACCTCTGCTGTATGTCTATAATGAAAGTTCTGATTCCTTTTTCTCTCCTTCTTCCTTTCTCTAGGAGGACAGTCATCCAAACAACCTATCCAGAAGCCGGGAGCACCCCTGCTTCCCTCCGTCTTCCATGTCCAGTGTCACTGCAACCCTGTCCATCTGCCTCACCAGCTTCCTCTGCTACAATCCCACCCCAGGCAGCCAGGAGGGTCTTTCTGAAAGATCAGACCACCTTCCTTCTTGCTTTGACATCCTCATCCTGGTGGCTTCCCTTTGCCACCAGGATGACCGTCCAATTCCTTTGCCCTACCCACCATCTTACATTTCTCTCTCCTTGAAAACTCCCTAGGTCATGGCCACCTTTTTCCAAGTTCAAATACATCCTGTGTTCTCCCGCCTTGAGGGTTTTGTACTTGTTCCCTTTGCTTCTTTGCATTTTTGTTGGAGGCAAGTTGAGAACCCAATTCCCAAATCCAGGAGTTTTCTGTTGTTACCATGTTGATCAACTTTGACTCTGAGCTAAAACCTAGACCCTATCACCCATGTACAGAACTGGAGCATCATCACATCTTTTGGTGGTCCTTTTGTGGGACCTCTTAGTCATCAATGTTTTCAGGATGATGAGCTTTGAAAAAATTTTAATGGACCTCTGTTAATACCCCCAAAAGAAAGATCAGTGCTACTGGTCCCTAAGGACAACTTTGGGTCAGTCTTTTACCAAAATGATCCTCTGTCCTAGACCCCTACTATCATAAAGGACTAGGGAGCAGCCACATGATATGGCATTACTTAGGAACTACTTCCCCAATTTCCCAACCCTGGGAATCGGTCACCTAGCTAGGTCTTCTCCTTTGAAGACACTCACTGGTATGGCTGACGAAACCAGGGCTAACAGATGTGGAATGGCATTGCTCGCAATCACGACATCTCTGAATTCTGAGCCATCACCTACAAATAGATCAGAAGATGACATTCAAAGAGAGAACAAAGTGGGTGATATGCTTTTAAAAAGTTTATGCAAAGACGAGACACAAAAACACATTCTTGGGGGTTTGGCAAGTAGGTAGTATAGTCATGGACTAGATCTGAGGTCACCAAGGTATCCGCTGGGTGGACATTCGTGATATGACAAGCAGGCACCACACAGTACCGCTTGCTAAAAGAGGAGGCTGTGGACACAAAGGAGAGAGCCAACCTGGTCCAGGCGGCACACTGTAAGTGCTGGCAGCCTTTCATAGTGCTATTCTCAGGAAGATTGAAGCTAATGCAGACCCAGAAGATACAGGTACCGGGGGAAGAAACTTACAAATGCAATTCAGAACAAAATCTGGGAATCGATAGAGGCTGGCCATCAGCCATCTGCATCTCTGAGTAGTGTCCCTAGGAGTCTTACCATTGAGGCAAGGCAAAAGTCACATTATATCACCCAGGCTGGCCTATACTTGACAAGACCCAGAAAAATGAGAAACACATCTGAAATAGATGCATCATTTCTGCAAGCATTTGTTAAAGCAGTTACTTTATATTCTGTTTGCTAATTCCAATATCTGAAGTCCTTGGAGATCTAATCATACTTGTGTTTCTGCTGACTCCGTCATGGTGGGTTGCTCCTTCTCCAAACTTGAAATTGCTAATATTTGGCTGATCTTAATTTGTCAAAATCCTGAGGCACCCAATTGAGGTCCCCCCATAACCAGAGAGCATGTCAATTTACTTCAGCCAGGAATCTGGGGGCTTCCAGCCCTACAGCACTAACTCTCTACCCTGTGCTTTCTCAGACATGCAACCATAGTCACAGGTCCCCAATCTACACAGTTTTAGGACTGCATTTTTTGGGAAGAGGTTTTACCCCAAGCTAAGGAGACTTTTTCTACCTTAGTGCTTTCACTGGAGGAAGAGTTCTTTCAAGGTCCTGGATCATGCAAGCATCCAACAGAAACCCCAGGACTGCATGGGCCAAAGACTCGGCTTTAGTTCCTGAAGCTATTAAGATTTGAGGCTGGGCTGGGGTTATGGCTCAGTGGTACAGTGTTTGCCTGGCATGGGTGAGCAATTCCCAGTCCTGCATATAAATAAATTAATTAAATAAAGGTCCATCAACCACTATTAAAAAAAAAAAAAGTAAGATTTGAAGCTGTGTGATCCTGGTATTGGCAAAGGTCCCGGCAGCCTGTCACATTAGCATGCACTTCGTCATCTAGTTTCAGTGTCAATGTTTGGTCTCTGAACTTGGTTCTGAACTTTGAAAGAGCATATGGTACCTTTCCCAGAACTTTTAGGTTTTCATACTGGGAAGGATTCCAGAACATGGAGAGCACCGTACTACCCAAAGAGCTCACGTCCCACACCACGTGTCTTAGCCCACTAAGAACAGAGCCTCACCGGCAATATTCCCGAGCGCCCACACAGCTTGCTCACACACGGTCATATGGGGAGAAGACAGGAGCTCAATCAAGGGCAGGACGGCACCCCCTTCCACCACGGCTCGGGTCTGATCCGAAGTCCCAGAAGCAATGTTGGTGAGAGCCCAGGCTGCCTCAAACTGCAGGAAGGGATGGAGTGACCACTTCAGGAACTCCACCAGCCTCGGGATGAGTCCTGCTGCAACAAATGATTTCAGGGGAGGGTTCCGTTCCCGGGACAGCATTTTCCTGTGAAAGGAAAGAGAGGGGAGTACAGGGAGGGAGACCTTCAGGACCTCCTTCTCGATGTTCTTGGCATTTCTAACATCACAGAAAACAAACAGCAGGACCCCACAGCCACTTAACTCAGCCTATAGCACTGTGCAGCCACCAGGCAATATTCTCTTTGCATATTATCTGTGAGCTAAAGGTCCTGTAGATGCTACAGTAAATTAAGCAATTCATCTCTGATAACATATTGCATCTTTTCTGTTGCCCTCTAAACAGTACAGCATAGAACCTTAGTCTTGCTTTTAGAAGGACTAGCCTTCTCCTGTGTTTTATGAGCATTTTCTCAAAGCCAAGAATCCAAAGGGGTCATTAGAGCTCATTTCAGGCTATAAACCTGCAAATAGCAAAAATCTGCTTGGTGATACCTGGCTGCCTGTGTGGCCTGGAAACATACAACTGGATCAGAACTATTCACACCTTTGATTATTTCATCCAGAGTGAGGTCGACCTGCAAAAGAGAGACACAGTCAGGCCAGAGTCTTTGCCAAAAGAGAATAAATATCACCTAGTCTACTCATCTATCCTGGTTTCAACAGGATGCCCCTTTGTGCATGCAGGTCTATAGTAGGGAAGGGGGTAAAACTTTTTTGGTGCATAGGTTATAAGTCATAGTGGTTACTCTCTATGCTTAAGGGAGGAATAATTCACTTGGATCTTCCGAACCCTTTTACTCTGTGCATTAAGAACATAATAGTGGATATCAGAAAAACAAATAGCAAGTGAGGACCTTCAAATTAACCCTCTTCTGTAAAGGCAATGAGAAAACTGACAATCTCAAAGCAAGTAGAAAAAAAGGAAATAATAAAGACTAAAAACAGAGATTGAGAAAATAGAGAAAAGTCAATGAAAGTCAAAGTTGGTTCTTGAAAAGATCAACAAAACTACATTTAGCTAGACTTACCAAGAGAGAAAAGAGAACCAAGTCATTGAAAATCAGAAATTAAAGTGAGGGAATTACTCCTGAACTTATAGAAATTAACAAAAGAGAAATAGGAGCAATGACAACAAATTAAATAGTTTAGATGAAGTAGACAGATTCCTAAAAATGCATAACCACCCAAAGTGATAAGAAATAGAAAATCTGAATAGAGCTATAACAACTAAAAATATTGAATTAGGAACTATAAAACATCCCTCAAAGAGACGTCTAGGCCTATATGGCTTAATGGTGAATTTCCCAAACATCAGAAATAACACAATCTGGCCAGGCACGGTGGCACATGCCTATAATCCCAGTGGCTTGGGAGGCTGAGGCAGGAGGATCATGAGTTCAAAGCCAGCCTCAGCAAAAGTGAGGAGCTAAGCAACTCAGTGAGACCCTGTCTCTAAATAAAATACAAAATAGGGCTGGAGATGTGGCTCAGTGGTTGGATGCTCCTGAGTTCAATCCCCATACCCTCCTCCCCCCAAAAAAGAAATAATACAAACTTTTACAAATTCTTCCCCCGCCCCCCCCCCCCCCCCCCAAAAAAAAAAGAAAGAAAAATAGAAGAATGGGAAATTTCTAAGTCATTATTTGAGGCCAGCATTACCTTGGTAACTGCATTAGTACATTTTCTGTGGCTACAACAAAATACCTGAGGCTGGGTAACTTACAAAGTAAAGAAGTTTATTTGCCATATGCTTCTGGTGGCTAGAAGGTCAACATCCCATGGTATTGGTATCCCAGTCAGGGCCCCTTGACTGCATCACAACATGACACAGTAATGGAAAGAGAACAAATGGCATGCAAAAAGGTCAAGTTCATGTACTAGCTTTACTTTATAACTATCTACTGTTGTGAGAACCATGATCTTGCAAAAACTACATTAATCCCTTCAGAGGGTGAGGCCCCCAGTGACCTAATTACTTTGCATGAGGCGCTAGCTCTGAATCATTCTACCACCTCAACACTACCACACAGGAAAGAACAAGTTTCCAGTTCATAAACCTTTGAGAGTGGGAAACACTCTCAAATCATATTTAAACCCTAACAATACCAAAACAACCAAAGCCATGATGAGAAAAGAAAGAGACATACCAATATCCCGTATCACTACAGATGCAAAAAAATCCTCAACAATTGTGTGCATTTATTCCCAAATGCCACTACTACATGGCATTCAGATCTTTGGAATTAATATTGAAATGTTTTGAAAATGAACAAAAACTTTTACAGCTACTGAGTTTCCTATAAGGTAGTAGTAGTTGGTAAACTGCACTGTGTTCGTGATAATGTGAAATAGAAGACCAATTGCTGGTTTTTCATATGCTGTCTTGAAGTGCAGAATTCTACTAAACATGTCACTGTTTAATGCATCTGGTATATTTCTGAAGAGGCTTTCAGGGTAGCCTGGGCAGACCTGCCCAGTTTATAAGTTGATGGTAACATAGTACATAAATCCAAGGAAATAAGATCTGTAAGAATCTAGGATCAGCTTAGGCTTACATGATGGGTACTAGGTTAGGAAAAGAAAATTTCCAATCATTCAGTCATAGTCTGTTTAAGCAGACTTACATGTAAACCAGGATCACCTCTATACAAGTTTATTATAGGTTGCTTTAATACCTTATATGAAATAAGAGAAAAATATATGGTTGTGTGTACCCTCTTGTTTTATGCAAGCCAGTTTTTACCTTGTGAGTGTGTTTCTTTGTGCTGGCTCAGTATTGTGTATTGAGAAAGGAAGTGATTTTTTGCATCCATGATATTACAGAGTTCCTCAAAGTCCACCCTCGTGATAGTCTGGGGACATAAGACAGCCAGATATCTTGTGGGCAGCCTCTGAATCAGTATTTTGGAACCACGAGGGTTTCACTTTCTTTTCCAGACCCTAGGATGCTAAACCATTTAAGAAAATAATTTATTCCAAGCAGCTAAAGCATGTGTTAGTTTAAAGGTGTCTGCTTATTTGGTTGAGCAACTTAACTGGTAAAATGTTATTCTAAAAAAAGGAAATATAAAATGGACAACCATGTAAATACCTATGGTCTGCAGAAACTGCTTCTCTAGCAATAATACCAAAGTAAGTAATGGAATTTTTTTTTAAAGCAGGTCTGCAGTAAAAGATAGTATTGTCTTTTTTAGTCCTCCTGCTCTCAACTCTCATCATTTGTTAATATTTTGCCTTTAAATATGTGAGTCTTAGTGTAAATAACCCCAAATGATAACTATTTCTAGAATAGCAAATGTATTAAATTCTTGCAACTTAGGGAATTTACCTATAGTTGTTAACATTAATTGCAAGAAATGGCTCTATACTACTTGAGAAGTAAACACATTTTATGTATTTATTTTTTTAAATTTATTTTTTAGTTTTAGGTGGACACAATATCTTTTTATTTTTTTATTTTTATGTGGTGCTGAGGATCGAACCCAGTGCCCCGAGCATGCCAGGCAAGTGTGCTACCACTTGAGCCACATCTCCAGCCCAAGAAGTAAACACATTTTAAAAAATGGAGTTTTGATATAGAGTAGAACCAAAACACTCAGTAACATTCATACACAAAATTGAGTGAATAAAGTTGCAGATCAACTTAAAAATCAATTTGTAAGCAAAGTGACTTTTGGGAGTAGTGATTGTTTTATATTTCAATAGTATCAAGTTTAGAAATTAGTTGTAAGACACTGCCTTTCTATGTTATATTTTCCCCAGGGATTTAACTCAGGGACATTTAACCACTGAGCCACATCCCTAGTCCTATTTTGTATTTTATTTGGAGACAGTGTCTCACTGAGTTGCTTAGCACCTTGCTGTTGCTGAGGCTGGCTTTGAACTCACGATCCTTCTGCCTCGGCCTCCGGAGCTGCTGGAATTACAGGCTTGTGTCACCGCACTATGCTCCCATGTATTTTTAAATAACTGGTAATCTACACTTGAATAAAAAATATTCCTTGGTATAAAAAAGTCCTCAACAAAATACTAGAAAACCAAATGTATCAACATATGAAACATTCATCATGAGATTTAACCCAGGAATGCAAATGATTCGACATATAAAAACCAATGTAGGCCAGGCACGGTGGCACATGCCTGTAATTCCAGCAGCTTGGGAGGCTGAGGTAGGAGGATCATAAGTTCGAAGCCAGCCTCAGCATCAGAGAGGTGCTAAGCAACTCATTGAGACCCTGTCTCTAAATAAAATACACAATAAGGCTGCAGATGTGGCTCAGTGGTTGAATGCCCCCAAATTCAATCCCCAGCACCAAAAAAAAAAAAAAAACCAAAAACAATGTAATACCCTCTATTAGAATAAAAGGGGAAACACAAATCTTTTCAATAAAAAGCATTGGACAAAATGCAGTACCCTTCCATGATAAAAACATTCAACAAACTAGGAATTTCCTTATACTGATAATAGCACCTATAAAAAATCACACAACTTAGAATCATACTTAATGGTGAAAGCCTGAAAATTTCTCCCCCTATAATCAGGACTAAGACAGGATATCTGTTCTGCTCCTTGTACTCAACATAGTATTAGACGTTCTAGATAGCTATTTAGGCAAGAAAAAGAAATAAGGTACATCTAGATAAGAAAGGAAGATATAAAACTATTTCTACTTGCAAATGACTTGATCTTAGATACAGAAAATCCTAAGTAATTTGCAACAAGAAAAATCCTAAACTAATAAACAAGTTCAGTTTCATCGCAGGATCAATAAATAGAAATCAATTTATTTTGGGGCTGGGGATATAGATCAGTTGGTAGAATGCTTGCCTTGCATGCACAAGGCCGTAGGTTCTAAGCCTAGCACCAAAAAAAAAAAAAAAAAAAAAAAATCAATTATATTTCTACATAGACAATAGCAATGAATAATCCAAAAATAAAAATAAAACAATTTACAATAGAATAAAATATTTAGGAATAAAAGGTACAAGACTCATATGCTGAAAACTATAAAAAAAATTAAACAGCATATAAATAAATGGAAAGACTTGACATTGTTAAGATGGCAATTTTCCTCAAATTGTTTTATAGATCCAATGCAATTACCATCAAAATCTTAATTGTCTTTATTGAAGACATTGACTAACTGATTCTAAAACTCATAGGGAAATATAAAGGACACAAAATAGTCAAAATAATCTTGTAAAAGAAAGCTCACGGTTCCCATTTTCAAAACTTACTACAAAGCTGCAGCAATCCAGTCTCTGTTGTACTGACATAAAGATAACCATATTAGGTTTTTGACAAGGGTGCTGAAATATCCAACGGGTAGAGAATAGTCTTTTCAAGAAAAAAGGCACTGGGACAGCTGGATACCACACACAAAAGAAAGAAGCTGAACCTTTAGTCGTATGGTTTACAAACATTAATTTGAAATGGATCAAAGATTTAAACATAAGAGCTAAAACTAGAAAACTTTAGAAGAAAAAAACATAAGCAAAAAAAAAAAAAAAAAAACCCTATGTGATTAGATAATGGGTCTAGTACCCAAATTAGAGAAAGAACTCCAACTCAATAAAAAATATAAATTACTTGACCTTAAAAAAAAAATGGCTGTAGGATTTGAATAGACATTTTTCTAAAGAAAAACACAGCCAACAATCATAGGTAAAGATGCTCATTACCATTAGTCAATAGGAAAACATATCAAAATTACAAGATATCCCTTTGCACCCACTAGAGAGTTATTTAAAAAAAAAAAAAAACCCAAATATTATTAAGAATGTGAAAACGTACAACTGTGTGGCCACTTTGGGAAATAGTTCAGCATATTACTTTCCTATTACTGCTGCAAAAATTATCACAGCCCCAATGGCTTAGAGGGAACTTGGTCTCTTACTGTTCAGAAGGTCATTTTCACTGGGCTAAAAGTTCAGATATCAGAAAGGCTGATTCCTCCTGGAGGCTCTCAGGGAGAATCCATTTCCCTGCCTTTTTCAACCTGTAGTGGGCTCACTTGATTCCTTGCCTGCAGCCTCTCCCTCCATCTTTTTTTTTTTTTAAATATAAATAAAATAAAGGTATTGTACCTACTTTTATGTGGCACTAAGGATAGAACCCAGTGCCTCACACATGCTAGGCAAGCACTCCCCCACTCAGCTACAACCCAGCCTGTCTCCCTCCATCTTCAAAGCACATCTCCTCTCTTTCTCTGACTTCTCCTTTGTCCTTATAAGAACCATGTGATTATGGTAGGCCCACCCAGATAGTCCAGGAAAATCTCATTAAGATCCTTAACTTAAATTGCAAAGTCCCTTTTGTTTTAAGGTAACATTCACAGGTTCTAGGGTTTAGAAGACAAGAGATTAGGGGACCATTATTCAGCCTACCACAAAGAGTTAAGCGTAGAATTAGCATATAACCCAGCAATGCTTCTCCTCAGTATGCTCCCAAAGGAACTGAAAACACTTGCCCAAGCAAAAACGTGTGCACACATGTTAATGGCAGCATTAATCTTAACAGGCCAAAAAGTGGAAACAACCCAAATGTCCACCATTAATGAATGGATGAACAAAATGTGCTCTCTCCATACGATGGAATAGTGTTCAGTCAGAAAGAAATGAACCAGATATGTGCTACAACATGGAGGAACCTTGAAAACTATGCCGAGTGGAAGAAGCTAAGCACCCAAGGTCACATACTGAAGGACTCCATTCATATGAAAGTCCAGAAGGTAAACTCACGGAGACAGAGAGTGGTCTTGTATTTGCCAGGGGCTGTGAAGAATGAGATATAGGAACTGATTGCTTAATGGGCATGGGGTTTATTTTTCAGGGGGAGTAGAGGGGAATGAACCCAGGGATGCTTTACCACTGGGCTACATCCCCAGTCCTTTTTATTTTGAGACAGGATCTAAGTTGTTGAGGTTGCCCTTGAACTTGAAGTTCTCCTGCCTTGGCCTCCCAGGCGGTAGGGATTACAGGTATGTACCACCACACCTGGTTGGGCATGGGGTTTCTATTTGGGGTGATAAATGTTTTAGTGCTGATGGTTGTGTAACCTTGTGAACACTGGAAGTCACTTATTTTACACTTTAAAGGGGTGAATTTGGGGATATGTAAATTAGATCAGAATTTAAAAAAAAAAAATAAATATGCGAATATAGGATAAATAGGGAAACAATTTTTTTTTTCATTGTTTCACACCTTCCTCAGTTGGGAAGAACCCCAAGGACTACTCTAGACTAATGAAGTTAACTGGATATGTATGGTTCTTGTCCCTATGGCAATTCAGAGAGTGATCATATCCATTACCATGGATGAAAGCGGACGCGTTACTGAATCCACTTGACAAAATTGAAACAATCTCTGCCCTCAAAGAGCCCTAAGCAGCTGGAATCCCAGACACTGGGGAGACTGAGGCAGGAGGATTGCATGTTCAAGGACAGCCTCAGCAATTTAGCAAGGCCTTAAGCAACTTGGTAAGGCTCCGTCTCAAAATAAAAAATAAAAGGGGTTAAGGATGTGACTGGGTGGTTAAGTACCCCTGGGTTCCCTGGTACCAAAAAAAAACAACAGGTGGGACTGTAACTCAGTGGTAGGATACCCTGGGTTCACTCTCAATATGTATGTATGAATGTATGAATAAATAAAAACACATACAATGTTATCAAAATTCAAAATTCACAAATCACAAAATAGGGCTGGCCTTAAAGTCAACCCAGGATTTATATACAGTGGAGTTGGGGAGGATGAAGGCTGAAAGATAGTGTTCAAGTCTTAGGAAAGATGTCATGTCCAGGGACTAGATGCCTCTACTTAGAAGTAACCTCCATGAACCCTCATTTCCTAATCCACCAGACTTAGTGCAGCAAGTGAGTTTCCAGTTTGCAGTGGCAATTACTCCCATCAGACATGGATCCCACAGACTCACCACCATACGTAAAGACCCTTAGCATTCTGAGGAAGGCACTTTGGCTGGAACCATGATTTCTTCACTCCTTCCTTGAAAGGCCCTAAATCAGTCTAGAAGCCCTGAATCTATTCAACACACCCAGGCCAGAGAAACTTGCTTCAGGATGTATTTTGCACACGTCTGCTCTCAATGCCACATTCTGACGTACCCTTTTGGCTATTTTTTCAGAAGCAGGATCAGCAGACACATGATTGATATTCCTTCTCTTTAAGACCTGCTCATCTTTCCTGGCCTTCCGAAGCTCCACGCTGACAATGATCCTCTGTTGTCGCCTCATCTAGGGAGGATAAGAAACAGTTGCAACAATCAGAGTCAGAGAGCACAGGATGCTTTGTCGTTTAGCCTTTGGAGCAGGTGGCAAGGCCTATGAGTTCATTTTTTACAGTTGCAATAGCCTGGAAGAATCAAGGTCACAGAACCAGTAAATCATCTCAGCCCTCCTCTGCTTTCTCCCAACCTTGTACCTCTAGGAAAAAAAATTCAATCTTCTGCCCCAAATTATAGGAAGGTCATGTTCATCCTTGACAGGCAGAATTCTCAGCCATAAAGACAAGAGCAGAGCAATCCACTACCCAAGTCTGAGCATATCCTCATGAATGTTGATTAGTTTGGAAGACTATAAAGTCCTGATGGGCCTAGACCTTCCAGTAGTGGCCAGATTAGTGGGGCTGGGGACTCTGGTGGGCCACCCAGAACTAGATGCACCATCTCAGAGGTTTTACTTAAAGACATTGAAGGAAATTTAAAAAGAATTTTTAATTAGATTGGATAGAGAGAAATAATGGGGGAGGAGTAGGGGGGTTAGGAAGGGCAGCAGAATAGACATTATGATTGATGTATGTATATAGGTGATTATGACTAGTGTGACTCAATTGCAATCTGCACAATTAGAAAAATGAGAAATTATACCCCAATGATACAAATGTATGAATTGCCAAGATCATTGTAATGTCATGTGTAGATAATAATAATAAAAAAGAATTTTTAAAGGCTTTTTTCCTTAAATACGTCAACAATACACAGAAGTATTATGAATCCTGGAGAATGACCTAAACTTTCTGGATAAATGAGTTTATTTTATCTATGTGGTGCCGAGGATTGAACACAGTGCCTCATGCATGCTAGGCAAGCGCTCTGCCACTGAGCCACAGCCACAGCCCTGGATAAATGAGTTTAAAGACTAAAATAGTGGTCTGAGGTTGTGGCTCAGCAGTAGAACGCTGGCCTCGCATGTGTGGGATCCTGGGTTCAATCCTCAGCACCATATAAAAATAAATAAGTGAAATAAAGGCATTGTGTCCAACTAAAAAATAAATATTAAAAAAGGACTAAAATAGTAATTACAATCATTTATTGCCTAATGATGGGAATGCATTGAGAAACGGGTTGTCAAGACAATTCTGTCATTGTATAAACACCACAGAATGTACTCACACCAACTAAGATAGCTATGTCATCACCAAGCAATGCAAGCTCACAGCACCACCATCATCTATGAGGTTGCTAGGTGGTACAAGAATGCAGAAATTAGTTAAGATGTATTAGAGACTTCCGGTTCCTTAAACAAATCATTTAATTCTTGCTTGAAAACAAGGTCATTAGCTGTTAAAAGGCAAAGCAGCACACCTTTGAGGCCCTTGGAACCAATGGTACCGTGGTCCTGTCACCAAATGGGACCTGCTTGTAAACAGAGGGTTTTGTACCTTTGTCTTCTCTCTTCTCAGCTGCTGGCCTTTCCTACTGCTCCCCACAGAGAGGGTTCAGTTCCTTTGTTCTATCTGGTTTCCTTTAATCTGCAATGGTCCTAGAAGCCAGAGAGCCACGCTCGCTGGAACAGTTTACCCTAACCGTGATTTGGTCCTGGGCATGTCATAACCAGGCTTCCACAACCAAGTGCTTCCTTCATCTTAAGCTGCCTTTCAGATTCCCAGTCTTATATGAGATGTCAGTCATGCTACACAGTAAGAAATATAGGAGTAGGAAAGTCATGAGACCAGAAAAGCTGAATGAGAATCCACACACGCAGACCCCTGCCCACAACCTAATGTCCACCCTGGAAACAAGCCCAATAAACTGGACTTTTCTGAAAGCATGCTACTGCCTTCATGCCAACATTTGAGTTCCTTGGTAGACCTCCTGCTGCCACAGCCTGGCATCTATAGACCTGGCCCTTCAGAGGACTGAGCAGCCCTGTTTTCTAGATGAAGAAACTAGAACTCTGAAGTCACATAATTTAAAGGTCATATGGAAACCTTGTTTCCAAAAAACAAACAAAACAAACCTAAAGTTGTCTGGCTCCTAAATCCATATACTTTTGTCCTCTCTACCTTTAATATTTTATTTTGAAATTTTTAAACATGCAAAAAAAATTGAAAGAATCATTCAGTGAACATCTGGACCCCTAAACAAGTATTTTGCTAGAACTGCCTTCTCTCCCCGCCTCTCCACCTGGTTCTTGATGCCTTTCAACCATGCGATTTTCACTCCACTGGTCCCTGACAGACTGAAGCAGTTGCTTCATACTCACAGATGCATCTTTGCCTCGATACTTAAATTTTCTCAGCCTCTCTTCTGGAACATCTGAGGTAGACATATTGACTGGGAGGAGGAAACCACCTGCAGGGAGGGAAATTACAAGATGTTCAGTGTCCCGTGTGGGGGTTATTGTGTTAAAGTCACCAAGTGTTCTGCTCTCCAAAGGATCAAGAGGATCAGAGAGCAGACTCCAAAAGTCGGCTTCCATAGAGTCATTGTGCCAACTCAAAAGGCCACGAGAACTGAGGTGACCATCCCTGAAAGGAAGCCATTCAAAGGCAGGTTGGGGGGCTGGGGCCATAGCTCAGTGGCAGAGTGCTTGCCTAGCATGCATGAGGCACTGGGTTCGATCCTCAGCACTGCATAAGAACAAACAAAATAAAGGCATTCTGTCCAACTACCAAAAAAAAAAAAAGGCAGGTTGGTTTGAACTTGGCCATTGATTCAAGGAGTTCTAAGCAATTGGACCCAATAGGAAGATGCCCTCTCCTCGCTCACCCCACCCACCAGCACAGAGTCAGGATCCACTCCAGCATGACACGAAGACTTTGGTCAACTTCCTCTGCTTGGTTTAGGCTACCATCATGGTTCACCCACATTCTACCACTGCCACTTCCCTGCTTCTACCAATTCCTTTTTCCAGTCTCTTCGTACAGCAGACACGGGATCTTTTCAAGAAAACAATCTCATCGTGAAACTTCTCTGCTTAAAATTCTCGTGCCGTCTGCTCATTGAGCTTAGAAGAAAATTCAGACCGCATTCAATGCTCTGCATGAGCTGGCCCCAGCCGGCTTCATCTCCAATGATTCTTTTCTTGATCACTGTGCTCTGGACCCTTGGATTTTGTTGTCAAGTATTCCAAGTTTATCCCTACGAAGGGCCTTTGAACAAGTTGGTCCTCCCAGAATCTTACATAGCTGGCTCCTTTATATTCACTCAGTTTCAAACATAATCATCACTGAAAGCCTCTCTAAGAATCGAAGTCTCTTCCCAGTCTATTTTCTTACCAACTTTTACCACTACCTACTGTTTTCTGAATTTTTAATTTGTTCATTTTAGGTATACATGACATTAGAATGTATTTTGACATATTATACATACATGGAATATAATTCCTAATTTTTTCTCTATCTTCCTCCCCCTACTTCCTAATTTTTTTCCTCTATCTTCCTCCCCCTACTCCCAATAGGACCATCTGTGTCTTAGGTTCTATTAGTCCATTTTCCATTGCTGCAACAAAAGACCTGAGGCTGAGGTACTTTATGAAGGAAAGAGGTTATTTAACCCAGTTTTAGAGGCAGAAAGTTCAAACATCTAGCACTAAGGTGGAGGAACCATCTCAGACATCTCCCTATGTTCCCAGAGATGCAAAGTATCAGAACGAGAACTTCAGCCTGGATCTGACATAAGCATCCATCTTTTGACCACTAAACCTGGCAGCCGATAACCTGTAACAAAGTCTGATTAGGAAGGCAGGAAGTTATCCCTGTGAGTGGCCCTAGATATGCGGGGCTACAGGTTGGAAGATGGGAAAGTGACCATTTTAAGCAACGGGAATAATGGAATCCTTTTCTGAAAACTCTCTGCCATGTGCTGCCGCCTTGCCTCTCCCCACTGTTCAAGGTACTGCTCTCAGCTCGTAAGTATCCCCAAATGTGCATAAAGTAAGAGGTTAGTTAGGGACAAAGAAAGGCTTCTGCTTCTGGAGAGCCCCCAAGGCACTCATCCCCCTGCGCTCTTCTAGAAGGTGCAACTATAAACTTGGTGGTAGATCCAGAGATTTAGGTGTTTCCCTCCTTCCTTTGAAACCAAATATGAGATAACACAGAAAGCTCATCTGCCAATCAGAGGGTCCTCCCCTAATCCTGGGGCATCTTTGGGGAGCATTTGAAAGCCACAGATCTAGCCAGATCATTTCCTGATGACAGGAGTAATATTAGCTGTAAAATCAGCTTCAAAGCCGATCCTTGCTCTCAGTTTTCCCTAGTTCAACACCTGTGTTCCTTGCCCTCACATTGTGATCTGCAGGCCCCCAGGACAGCTGGCTGTGTGCTTCCCCACCAGCACCATGACAGAGCCAAGGCAGAGGCTTTGAGACGCGTGCAAAAATCAGATAAGACCTTACTTCACCAGTTTGCCACTGTCTGAAATCCAGAGAAAGCCACACTGGTGACGCAGGCAAATGTCACCTACTGAGGGGCTCTCTACTCCTGGAGTCTTGGGCCAGCACTGCTGCTGGGTGGCAGGTGGCAGAGAGACAGCCAAGGAACCTTGGGCACATTCAAGGTCACCCAGGCACCCAAGCAGCTCTTGCCCTTTGAATCCTTTTGTATAAGGGGACATTGGGAACTTCCAAGTCTTATTAATGGCATTGAGTAACTCTCTCTGGTTGGGGCATTTCAGGCAGTTTTGTTTTTCCTGTACTGTTCTAAATTTAGCCAAGCTTTTACTGTGAGCATCTTTCATGAACCAAGAACAATTTTAAATTAAGACATGTCTCATCATCCAGGAGTTGGCTTCTATATAGTAATTTTTTTTTTTTAGATTTTAAAGTGATATACTCATGGCTTTAAAAGAATATAAATACAATACTCCAACTTACAATGGGCTCACAACTGAACAAACCCATCCTAAGTTGAAAATACACATTTAAATGCACTTTATACCTGGGTATGTTGGCGCACGCCTGTAATCCTAGTGGCTCGGGAGGCTGAGGCGGGAGGATTGGGAGTTCAAGGCCAGCCTCAGCCACTTAGCAAGGCCCTAAGCAACTTAGCAAGACCCTGTCTCTAAATAAAATATAAAAAGGGCTGGGGATGTGACTCAGTGGTTAAGTACCCCTGGGTTCAATCCTTGGTACCAAAATAATAATAATTATTATTATAATAATGCATTTTATACATCTAAACTTAGCCTAGCCTACCTTCAACTTACATTAGTTTGAATTAACAAAGTCTATTTTTATAAAAAGGATTGAATTTCTCATGCAATGTATTGAATAGAGTGCACTCCAGAGTACAATGTCAGTTGTTTACCCTTACGATCCCATGTGCTGATGCCCAGGATCCCAAAGAAATGTTGTACTAAATAAAGCTGTCTAGCCCAAGGAAAGATTAAAATTCAGAAGCAGAGTTTTTACTAAAGGAGTAACATTTTTGTATCAATGTAAAACCATAGAGTTGAGACACTGCTAAGTCAAATCATCCTACATTGGGGACCATCTGTAGTTCAGAAAAACACTAAGCCTTAGGTCCCAATATCTCCACTCCTCCTGCAAGTTCACCTTTAAAAACTGCCAGCTGGGCTTGGTGGCGCATGCCTGTAATCCCAACAACTTGGGAGGCCAAGGCAGGAGGACCACAAGTTGGAGGTCAGCCTGCTTAACTTGGTGAGACCCTGTCTCAAAAGGGTTGGGGGTGGGTAGCTGATTGGTAAAGCATCCCTGGATTCAATTCCCAGCACCAAAATTATATAAATAAAAACCCGTGCCATGCTCTGCATGTGCTCATTATAGAGGGGATCTTGATGGACACCCTGTTTTGCATCACATCTACTCATCTGTACCTGGGACGCTGTTTGACTTTAGTGTGTTCAGCTCTACATCACTAACAGCTATTTCTTCAAAGCAGGATTGGGTTTAATTAAGCTCAAGTCATCCATTGAGTGGGAGCCGGTGAGGCTTATTCCCCAGGAAGAAGAGCTTGCGGGATTCATGCCACCTCTGCTCCAAAGCCCCTGAGGTATACGGGTTCCACAGCTGGGGCTAGGTGGAGGTGGGGACACAAGGACAGCAACTGCCCAGTGTCAGGAGGGGTCCGGGGAGAGGTGGTGTCCCTGGGAAGGGAACCCCCTCTCATTGTTCTTTGGTTCCTCAAGGGGCTTTGCCAACATGGACAAGACACCCTGTGAGTTCCAGACACCTGGTTCAAGGCCAGGAAACACACAGCAAGCACCTTCCTCCAGAGCTCCCCAGAGGGGAAGCAGGTAATACCCAGGGAGGAGGGAGGAGATCAGGCCCTGTACCTGGGCAATTAGGCCTCCCGGCTAAGGGGGTGCTACTTGGGAGGGGGGCTGGATGAGTGGACACTTCCCACAGGTGAAAGTGTTCTGAGGAAAAATCTCCTTTCGAGGGAGCACAAGCCAAGGCCTTGCGCCAAGAAGCATTGTTCTAAAGCTTAGGAACTTTAGTAGTTTAGGAGCGCTCAGGTCTATGCTCGCTGTGGGTTAGACTTACTCCAAGATCCTTGCAAGCCCATGTCCGGGCTCAGCAAAATAGACACCTAACAACGTCTCCTTCCTCCATATTCATCCTGAAACAAAAGCCAAGAGCCACTTAGCATCGTGTCTATAAGTCAAGGCTGATTCCAACAAGGGGAGACGGCAGCCTGGGACTTCTTGGAATTGCCATGTGGGTCAGGCTGCCCAGCTTTGGAGAGGACCATGAAAGCCACCTCCATTGTTAAGGGCAAGGCCACGGTAGCCTCCCTGGAGAACCCCAACAGCCACCTGGCTCACTGTCTGAACAAAAGCAATCAACACCCAGACAGAGGGCTCAGAGAAACACTCTGAGAGCCCCGACACCCATCCCTTACTCACCTGGCAGGAAACTGCTGCCTCTGGCCCCTGGGTCAGGCTTAAATGCCCTCAGCAAGCAGCAGGTGCTTCCGGGTGCTTGGTTCTTCCCCACAGGGCTGGCTGCTGCCCTGATCCATGGTTCTTAGGCCCAGATACACATTGGAATCACTTGGAGAGCTTTGAAAACCATGCTCACCTGGGCCCAGGGACTGGTTGGGCTGGTCAGGAGTGGGAAGCCCAGGTCTCCCAGGTGATTCTCATGGCCAGATGAGTACCTAGGAAGCACCAGGGACCTGTAGCCCCTGCAAATGCACTTTTTGAAGCCCTCAAACTATCAAAGGAGGTATGTGTCTCTCTCTGGCTAAGGTTTGCCCCTGGAAGTTTAAGGCTCCTGACATTTGGCTTGGACCTCTTTGTAAAATTGGGTATTAGACCTCAAGCTGCCAGTCTATGAGCACTGACTCCCCAGCAGGCAAGGAGTTT